ACTAGGACCACTACCACTACCCGAAAGTTAGGGGGTGGCGTTCAATCAACAGTACTTAGGAGTTAGATGGCAACCTAGAATTGCGTGTTTTGAGCGAGTGCATTAGCCAGCACATGCACGGGATCACACAGTGCATCCCAAGGTTGTGCACCTACAACGCCAACCTGAGAGCCGCTTTGGAGCTCGCGTGTGAGGTTCGGCCAATGGGCGTTTCGAAGAAGAAGGACCTTGCGGGCCTTACGGCAAATTGCAATGCTGAGGTGTGGATGCACCTTCCCCAAGTGTGCGGGGCTGATGCCCGGTTGATTGAGCCAGATCTGCCATCTACGCCGCGCGTGGCCCCAGCTTGAAGGGCTTTCCTCCATTCGAAAACAAAATGTGCAAATCGCAGAGAGCTTGCTTGAGGAAGGGCCTGTTTTAACCTGCTTTATCAATCCGCTGGACAATTTCAATTGTCTAACTGTGCCCATGAGCAGAGGTAGACAGGGACACAATTGCTTGATAGGCCAACACGTGCCACAACGGCCCAGGACGCTTTCTGAGCACCCGAAACCACGACTGAGGCATCAATGCCACAAAGCATGATGCATGTCTTAACCGCTGCCCTGGAGCTCATCTTGTCCAGTTCTGCTTGCGTCGCTAGTTCGTGGAGCCAATGCGTAGCTTGCCCCTGGCACGATACAGCATCCCGCACCCCTTTGGGAACGCCGTCCTGGGGTTCTGACCAATCTCTTTGTTCAATTCGATCTTCACACGCCTGGGCTCAGGTCACGTGCTAGGTACATGCTAAGACTGATAAAACAGGAAGGGTTGCCTCAAAAACTGCGTGCAATTCTCCTGCCTGGTCCCTCATCTCACTGCCAAAAAGTGTCTCGACCCAGAAACATGAGATGCACACGAGATGCACACCATGAAGCCTCTCAGGAAACCCCGATTTACCAACTCCCGTTGCCAAGCCCCGGGACCCCGGCAAGATTCCTTCACATTGAGCTGTCATGTCCTCTAAAGGCATTGGTCCTATGCGTTTTCGATTGCAACTGGCGCCAGGCTGAAGATGTCCTTCTGACGGTGTAGCAACAGATACTGGGCCCCAGATTGCTTCAGCCGCTTTCTTTTTCCCGCCAGTTTTGTTGGGAACCGCAGAATGACATGCATCTTAGTGCGGTGTTGTTTTGTACATGCGTGTATCTTTCTTTAAGGGTTCCCATTCTTGAGGTCTGAAAGAAACCAATATACCACATTCGAGGTTCCCCCCGAGACAAGGGCCCTGTCGCGATCGAGAAGGAAGGTTCTCACTGCCCTTTCAGAGGCTCAAATTCCAAATCCGCCAAGGAGCCCAATTTCCTTCAGCACAGCCGTCCTTGGTCCAGGCCCGCGATAGCATTGTTGTTGTTGTTCTTGAGAAAGGGGTATGCGGTATGCAACCTACGGAATCAAACACCGTGCCCTTCCAGGCCCCTGTCCCGATTCATTCTACATGCAGCCTGCGCAGCAAGCCCTGCCCCGAAGCTTGAACGTGCCAGAATGGTCTGTCTCGGACATGTCTGGTGTGCTTCGCTGGCAATTGATGAGAGAACCCTGGACAGTGGGCAACCTGTCCCTTTTTACACTTGCATATTTCTGGCAAAGACTGGTTACATCACCAAGTCTCAAGGTCGGCATTCACAACACATGCCTGCTGAAACACCAACAAAGGAAACGCAGTCGGAGCCGCTTGGCTGACTAACAATGCGAGCTGCTGGTGGCTGTGATTGCTGGCTGGCCACAAACATGTCCAAAAAAGCCGGCCCAATTCATGCTGAGTCCAGCGCAGGCGCTCAGTCATCGCTTCCCGAGGCGAAAAATGGGCAGCAAACAGCCCTTGGCAGCTTCGCTGCTGGAAGCCACGGAACTTTGGCTGGCGCCACTCAAAAGAAGTGAGATTTGGCTGAATCATGGCAAGATGCTGGGCATTGGCAAATTAGACTTTGGATGTAGACTGAGCGCTTCCATCCGGCAACAACAGGCACCTACGCTGAGAGCCACGCACCGTGCAGCGCTCGTCGGTGCGAGTGTTGTTGTGCATTTGTGTGTGTGTGTTTGTGCATGTGTGTTTGTGTTTTTGTGCGTTTGTGCGTTTGTGCGCTTGTGCGTCTGTGGGTTTCTGGGTTTGTGGGTGTGGTGGTTTGTGGGTTTGTAGATTTGTAAGTTCGTATTTTGCGTATTTGTGTGTGTGCGTTTGTGTGTTTGTGTGTGTGTGTGCTTGCGGGTTTGTCTGTGTGTTTGTGTAGTTGTTTGTGTAGTTGTTTGTGTCTGTGTGTGTGTGTGTGTGTGTGTGTGTGTGTGTGTGTGTGTGTGTGTGTGTGTGTGTGTGTGTGTGTGTGTGTGTGTGTGTGTGTGTGTGTGTGTGTGTGTGTGTGTGTGTGTGTGTGTGTGTGTGTGTGTGTGTGTGTGTGTGTGTGTGTGTGTGTGTGTGTGTGTGTGTGTGTGTGTGTGTGTGTGTGTGTGTGTGTGTGTGTGTGTGTGTGTGTGTGTGTGTGTGTGTGTGTGTGTGTGTGTGTGTGTGTGTGTGTGTGTGTGTGTGTGTGTGTGTGTGTGTGTGTGTGTGTGTGTGTGTGTGTGTGTGTGTGTGTGTGTGTGTGTGTGTGTGTGTGTGTGTGTGTGTGTGTGTGTGTGTGTGTGTGTGTGTGTGTGTGTGTGTGTGTGTGTGTGTGTGTGTGTGTGTGTGTGTGTGTGTGTGTGTGTGTGTGTGTGTGTGTGTGTGTGTGTGTGTGTGTGTGTGTGTGTGTGTGTGTGTGTGTGTGTGTGTGTGTGTGTGTGTGTGTGTGTGTGTGTGTGTGTGTGTGTGTGTGTGTGTGTGTGTGTGTGTGTGTGTGTGTGTGTGTGTGTGTGTGTGTGTGTGTGTGTGTGTGTGTGTGTGTGTGTGTGTGTGTGTGTGTGTGTGTGTGTGTGTGTGTGTGTGTGTGTGTGTGTGTGTGTGTGTGTGTGTGTGTGTGTGTGTGTGTGTGTGTGTGTGTGTGTGTGTGTGTGTGTGTGTGTGTGTGTGTGTGTGTGTGTGTGTGTGTGTGTGTGTGTGTGTGTGTGTGTGTGTGTGTGTGTGTGTGTGTGTGTGTGTGTGTGTGTGTGTGTGTGTGTGTGTGTGTGTGTGTGTGTGTGTGTGTGTGTGTGTGTGTGTGTGTGTGTGTGTGTGTGTGTGTGTGTGTGTGTGTGTGTGTGTGTGTGTGTGTGTGTGTGTGTGTGTGTGTGTGTGTGTGTGTGTGTGTGTGTGTGTGTGTGTGTGTGTGTGTGTGTGTGTGTGTGTGTGTGTGTGTGTGTGTGTGTGTGTGTGTGTGTGTGTGTGTGTGTGTGTGTGTGTGTTCGTCTGTTTCTGGGTTTGTCTGTTGGTGTGTTTGTGGGTTTCTGGGTTTGCGGGCATGTGTTATATATATATATACGTATATCTGTGTGTGCAGGTTCCCCCTCACTTGAAAGTACAATGTAGTAGGCAGCTGATCTTGTGGTTCCCACAATGCCGTGTCTCAGCCCTGCCCTCAATGACCCGTCTATTACGACTGGAATCAATTCGCACTAGTGCATGTTCCCATTTGCAGAGCCTGAGAGTGTCAGTGGCTCCAAACGGCTGGCTTGCATCTCGGTTTGCTCCAACTGTGCAAGAGCAGGTCCCGCAAGGCTAGCTAGCTCCCCTACGGTGTGTGTCATCCAGCAAATGTGCTTGCTTGTCGGTGGCAAATACGCAATGGCCTCATGAGAGCAGAACCCTGGAGAAAAATCCATGTGTCGCGGAGCCCCTTTGATTTCCATGGTAAGGGTCAGGAATCGCCTGAGACTTCCTCAACCTCGTCAGCTCTTTCCTCGCACTCAGCGCAGTCACCACGCCCAGCCCTGCATGAATCGGGCAGGCCCAAGCAGCCGTGGGCGATCACGGGACAGGTCCTGAAAAACCCGCCACACGCAATGGAAGCTCTTTTTGGTTCATGTCTCACTTGTGGTGAGCGTCACCCCGACTTGCTTGGGTGAGGCCCTCACACCAAGTCAAGGTCCTGTGCTCAACTCAAAACAGGGCAAATGATGACAGCACGGCCATTTCTGCGGCGGCCCGCTGTGTGGCTGTTGCGATGTTCTTTCCCACCCCCAAACAAAAGCAAGACTTCAAGGCCGTCTGTGTCATCCACAAAAACCCGCACTCAGGTCAGCAAGGCCAGTAGACCAAGCAAAGGCACTCCCTTGCGAGTTCACACGACACTTTTTCATCCTTCATCTGACTGAGCCACACAACTGAGAGCTGCCTGATGGCATCTAGACGGCCAGTCACGGGGTGCACAGCCTGCAAAAGGCAAAAAAACATGTTCAAGTCGATTTTCCATGAAGCTGACTTGCAAGGCCGGTAGAAATCCATGACCTCTCTGGGAAGTTGCACCAGTTGTGGGGTTCTTCTACCCAAATCCCTCAACTGACTGGCGGCACCCGGACTGGCTTATTGTCCTCCGCTTTGGGAGGTGAGCGTCTGGCCGAGTGCAAAAAAGGCCCCTCATGGCCTCATTGGGCGTGAGACTCGAACCTCCAAATGCGAAGTCCCGCCCTTTGCAGCGGATCGGCATTGCGGGGGCCTTTGCAAATGGACACCCGCTACAGCTTACAGAGGTTTGTGTCAAAGGGAGACCCCAATGGTTGTCCTTTGGTTTCCCCTCCAAAAAAACCAACCCACGAAGCGTTCAGAGCCTCAAAAGAAGCACATTTTCCCACATCGTGTTTGATCTTCAGCTGGTCCAAGGCAATCAGGATGGAAAAAGAGCGGGTGTCTCGAGCAGGCGCACTCACTTGTGCTCTGCAACAATGGTTGGGGAAGCCCTCAGGCAAGACCTGACGCAAGGGTGCAGGTGTTGATCTTCTTGCCTCCTAAACTCTTTTTGCTGGCCTTCTGACCACCAGTGCCACAGTGGCAGTGGCCCAAGAGGCACCATGCACTGGTCGACCAATCCGTCGCATCGACAAAGCCGCTGCCGCGCCCCGAGCCCCGAGCCTCACCGGGCTTGTGGGCTGTCTCCCTCGCCTGGCAACGGGGGATGGTCACAAGCCCCAAGTGGCCATGGGTCGAAATCCAAATCGTACCCCCAGTGAACATCCGATTCAATCCCCACTAAGATAGGTTCTGAAATGGGTGGTGCACCTACCCCCAAAATGGGATCCCATTGGTTTTGAACCACAGGCAATTCACTCCGAACCTCCGTGCTCGCGAAGCTTCAAAGGGTAGCCTGTGTGCCAAAAGTGCCCCGCCCCATCTGCCTGGACTATCGCATGGACCACAGCCGCTCGGAGGCCCGGGGCAGGGCCCGCAGGGACCACAAGGCCCGCACCCGCAGGGACCACAAGGCCCGGGGCCGCAGGGACCGCAAGGCCCGCAAGGCCCGCACGGGCCGCTGCCGTTGCAGGGGGCGCAGCCATTGCAAGGGCTACAGCCGCACCTCGGTGTTTGCAAATGGCAGAGTGTCTGGGTGAATGAAGGGAATCAGCAAAATCACTCCGGGATATAGATGCTTTTGGAAGTGCAGTACGCATTTGCCCGCGCGGGGCAGAATCGAAAAACGGGCTCGAATCTATATGTTGTTATTCCCCAGCACCTCAAAAGTTACAAAATCTCTACCCAAATAAGCTCAAGGTCTAGAGGTTGAATGGGGCTGGATTAGCATCCTGGCGATTGTTGCAAAGTGTTTCGATGGATTTCGGAGAGGTTCCGGCGTTGCTCGGAGCAGGTTCAGAGTGGTTCGGAGCAGCATGAGCTAGGGTTCCCAAAGGGTTCCGGCGGTTCCTGTTGTTGGGAGGTTTATATGTTGGGCCTGGCACAACATCTGCAAATCCTTGTCGTTGACTTGACAGTTGTAGTTGTGCCATGCGATACTTCTGATACACAATTGTAGTATAGGCAGCGCGTTTTCCCAGCTCCAGCAAAAAACCATGGCGTGAACATGCAATTTCTCTGAGCCTACAGTTCAGGATGCGGATCAGGCAACCAGTGATGTGAAGCCAAACTTGCACCTTGGTGTTGGTTGTCTTTGCAGCCACTCGCTGATTGTGGATTGAGATGTGCCTAAGCTATCATCCATGAAAAAGCTTGCTTTGTGACGCTGGACGCTGGGTAAGTTGGCAACATATCGTGATTGATGATGCATACCGTGCTTGGTGATAGTAGCAGTCAAAATCTAGATGCTTCAGCCTTGTACATGTTACTGTTCCCACCCTCTCCCCCACCCCCATACGCCACAGATTGACTGTTCATGACATGACATGAAATGACATGAACTGACGTGAAGTGATCGCACGCATTTACCATTGCACATGCCTTCTGGTTGTGAAGCAGACCAGGCTGCAAGAAGACGGTTATCCCTCGCTAGGGGGAACCTTGAATGCCACCTAATGAGCACATCCCTATGACCTTCTTTCTCTCAACTTGCCCAAAGGACTTGATTCTAAAAGGTTAACCTCTTGCGGCCATGACTAAATATGGACCAAAATGGGAAAACCAGAAGGTCGAAAGGTCGGCTTTGAACAACTGAGTTCTGCTCTTGAGGAGGAAGGGCATTGTCACAGGTTGCTAATCAGGCGCCTGCTTCCAACACGCATGCACCGAAAGCATGCGTCAGTTTTTAATCTGCACTTCTCCGCCCTGAGGCTTGCAGCACGTGCCAAGATCACCTGCGGTGGCCAATTCAGTAAATGGCCTTGTGCTGGCTTGTTCGTTCTGCATTCCATGAAAAATCTGTCCTCACGGCTTGCGCGACTTTCATAATCAGGATCTGACGCCTTCACTTTTGGACTTGCAGAGTTCGAGAAAAGACGCGTACGGCGACGCCTGCGAAATGCTGGAGAGGCACTGTCCAGCACAGGCCATGCAAGGCATGCTGCAGCCTTCTGCCATGCTGCCGCAGCCACAACCCCCGCAGCCGCAGCCGCAGCCACTGCAGCTTCCGCAGCCACCACAAGATTGGACCTCGGCAACGTGCCAAGCTTACGCAGATTGGACCCGGCTGAGCGGAAGTGGACAAAACTCCACTTCGCACAAGTGGGCAAGTGGTTTATCCCAGGATTCATAGGATTTCATACATGCCTACTGGTGCAGGGTTTCGTCCATCCAGGCATTCGTTTCAGTACCAGTGGGAAGGGACAGCACATGACCTTCGGAGCCGAGGGGCGAAGCCGAGCTGATCCCCAGCATAAGGCCCGCTGAAGGAGGCGCCTGGAAGCTTGTTGCGCGCATGGAGGTCTCTCCAAATGGTCCATGGTCCCCTAAAATGTGTAATGTCCTTGTGGTGTCGCTTTAAAAAGCAACGAAAAGCGGTCCCCACTTTGAGAACCACTCAACCATGATTCGTACAAGTGTGCCTTTTTGAGGGTACGCTGTTTTGGGGAACTGACGAGCATCCACCCGTTTCGATGCAAAGCAAACAGGATTGATGGATGCGTATCTGAGGGTGTTCCCCCAATTTACTGGGGCTTCCTTGGTTGCATGCTCAAGATATACCAATTGCCAATTGAACAATGATCTGAATTCGCACTGGTCACCTGAGCGCCACTGACTTGATCAGAGAGAAGGCATTCGGGTTTCAATCATCATAGGTTTCCTCTGCAAAAAATGATGACGCCGTCGTAACGGCCAAAACATGTTACCGGAGCTTGGCAACAGTCCGGTTACCCAAATCCCCACTGCAAGCGTCGCCTCCCACGAAATCGCTGGCCGGAACCTGGCAAGAGGCATCCACCTTTTGGGTTCCCGATGCCAAGATATGAAATTGAGGCAAAAAGAGCGAGAACTCCAAAGATGCAAAGTGCCGGTGTGAGCATAGCGAACACAGCTCTCCTTCACTCTCTCTCACCCTCGCTCTCTTTCTCTCTCTCTCTCTCTCTCTCTGTCTCTCTCTCTTTTTCTCACCCTCACTCTCTTCCCCCTCTCCCTCACTCTCTCTTGCTGTCGCTCTTTCTCTCCCTCTTCAGCAAACCCTGCCGTGGGCAAGATTTTACGCTAATAGCTTTTGGCATCATGTATCATATTCAGCCGGATAGCAGTGTGGATGACAGCCGCGCCGGGCAGGGAAATAAAACCAGGAGGCAATTCCAGCGGAAGAAATTTTGACTAGTTTGATCTCCACCTACTGCATTGAAGCACCAACCAAACAAGAGCAGCCAGTGTCCAAGACCGGGAGAGCAGCCGCCGCACTGTCTTACATGGCAGGCAAAATCAGCTTGTCTTCGGGGCCTGTGTGATCTCAGTGAACAACCGGTCTTGCTCAATCCTCTTTAGCTCAAGCATCATCTCGCCGCGCTGTTCCCAACGCTGTGTTGAAAAACAGCGCAAGTGAGCGCTCAAATGAAGCAACCCAACACTTACTCTGGATTCCCTTGAGCAATTGATCCACCAACCATCCAGCAGAAATGGTGATCCCGCTCAAACACATGCCAGCTTAACAGCACATCGGTGTGGCAACATGGGTGACGTGTTGACAACTCAGTGGCAGCCCAGGCCTTTTCCTACAGGACCGCAGGGCTCTGTCGCCCTACCTCGAAGATAGGCTCCTATGTTCAAGGGCGGCGCATGTCTTCACATGTTCACACGCCTAAAGCCCTTTAACGCGTGCGGGCTAGCACAATGGGATTCTGCCTGAATTCCAAACTGCCCGCGCCTCAGCACTTTCAGCAGGGACTCCGTGTCGGCGTTCAGGCAATCCGCGAGCAAATCTTTGCTCTCGGCCCACCGGATGTGGCCCTTCAGCGCCGGTCTCTTCCTTGAGCAAGACCGCTTGCTTTGCTGGCTTCGAAATCTTGCTCATGGTTCCGCCGTTTGTCGCGGCTCTCGGCATGACATATCGGCAGGACACTGTGACCGGCATTTCTTCGCCCAATGTCCAGCTGCTCCACAACGCGCACACTTTGTTTGTAGCTACACTGTTCAACATGCGCTCGGTGGAATCGGCCACCTTTGCCTCGCCCTTTTCCTGGAGCCCCGCGCCCTTTACCTCCCTGATGGTATTGTCGTCCTCGTTGTTGAGTGTCCAGCCATCCCGGATCTCTGTGCACGTAGCCAACGCTGCCATCACCTCGTCCACGTCGTAGATCTGCTTGAGATCACCTTCTTCAAGAAAGACGTAGTCGGCCTCATCTTCAAAGTCCTCCAACATCTTGCCCTGGCCACCCGTGAGCTCTTCATCGCTCGAAACCAGCAAAGACGTCACCGACACCCTCAAAGTGAGAGAGCCTGCCAGTAGTAGATGTACCCGATCGCCACCTCAGTTCAGCGTGCGCTTTGTCCATGTGGATGACATAGTCCTGAAAGTGCTCCGTGGGAACACGTCGTAACCGGTAGATGGCCATCTCCATTGCTCGAACCACACTGGCTTCCAAGTGTGGGCGGTAGTACTCCTTTCACCTTCTTGAGGCCGTTCTCGTTCATGAATCCAGTCACTCGAAAGCACGCTTCTTCGCACCCAGCTCCGTCTCGAACTCCCAAAGCCCCACATTTGCCAGGATCCCCATCCATGGCGGCGAGCCCAAAGCCGAGGGCTGCGCTACCACTAAGTGGCAGCTCGGGCCTTTTCCTCCAGGCTCCGTCGCCCTACCTCGAGCCGCTCCGATGTTCAACGGAGGTTCATGTCTTCACATGTTTACACATGTCCACTTCATGTTGGTTCTTCCTTATCGGCTTCCCGTACCGGTACGTTTGCCGGCACGGCTCTGCCCTGACCTCTTGGTTCCCACTGTGGTTTCAATTGCAACCAAGACGGCCTCAGAATTCGGTCCGGATGCATGTCCAACTTTGGAATAGCTATCTTGAGACGTAAACCGGCGAAGGGCAGGAAGGGTGTTTCATTCAACAGGACGGGCGTACCGCCATGGCCACCACCATGTCACCGACCTGACGCATAGGAAACGCTTCGACCTGCCGCCAACAGAAAATCCATCTGGGTGTGTCGGTCTTTGTGGGTACCTTCTTCCGGAGCCAAGATCAAGAACCAAAACTGTGCCCCACGAGCAAACTCACAGATGCGTCCGAGCTGCGGCTCCCATCTCCTGCGCTTGGCCCGGCCACAGTGCGATGCCTGGCACAGAAATGATTTGGCCACGCATAGGCTTCTGTCAAGATCCACTGCGTCCGCTTCCGCTTTGCAAAGCCTTCTTCAACCTGCGCAAAGCCTTCTTCTTCAACCTGCACCAATGTCTGCTGCATCCTATCTGTGTTGCGCTCAAACATCACACGTGGTCTTCCCTGTTTGAAATCCCTTGCAATGACAGTCGGTGCGGCTGCCATCCCCGAACTGCAGCGGAGGATGGTTCCACCTGAACCAGAACGATCACTGCAAGACAGGGCCGTCACGATCAGCTGCATGCCATGGCCCTTGGTAAGTTAAGCAGCACATCTGCCAGGCAAAAGACTTTGCGTGGATCGTGGTGCCCATTCACCACGGCACATCAGGATCTGTGCCCTGCAAGAAAAAAGCATGGCGGTTCAGATCTGCAAGGCGCTTTGCCCACGCCTGCAGGTCTCGCCTCTCGGACAATAGCCATTCTGCAGCCATTCCCAGCACATGTCCCAGCCATCCTGCAACGTGGAGATTGGTACTCACTTCACACTCCCAAATCGACCATGACTTGTTGGGACAAACTAACATGAGACAATCTCCGTGATTCTGGGTGATATACTCCAACAAGCAGATCCGCAGTTCCATTGACAAATCTGCACCCATGCAACCAAATCGACAATCAATTTCAGCTGCAGTCTCTGCTGCTCCTCGGCCTGTGCAGGGACCTCCATCATCATCTCCATGGGGGGTTGCATTTGTTGCCTGGGCGGCGGACATGTTCTTTATGCCAGCAAGCGCGTCCCTTTCTGGTGCACTCAAGCTTGCGATTTGCTCGCTCACATCTACTAGCATTTTGGACCTGTCATGATTAAAATGCATGTCCTGGTGAACACAAATGGTGCCGCGAATCGTTAGCTCCCATTGGCTACCACCTCACTTCACTTCCACAGCATGCCCTGGAAGTCTGCTGGAGGAATGAGTCGCTAGCCACAGGGCGGTGGCCACGCAAGGCGGGAGCAACACTGCACAGTGCCAGTGCACCCACCACCACAAGAAAGCCTTGCAATGCATCTAGGAACATGTGCCGCACCAACCGATGAACATGTACTGAGCTCCTGACATGGCTTGGAAGGCTGCCTATGGACTGTATCCCAGTGGCTGATGGACGGCTGAACATCCGAACATGCTGCAACAATTGGAGCTTTGCGGTAATCCAAGCAACGTGATGCTCACTACTGAATTCCAGTGCAGGATGCGGCAAGAGTTGATGATTCGCTCAGGATAAATGTGAGAGGCGCTATCAAGTCTAATTGGGTATGGCCATTTCCCAGCATCCTTCAAGCATCTTGGGAGTCTGGAGATTAAATCCGTTCATTGGCACTGGCAGTTTGCAGCCACCAGACTCGCTGACAGTGATAGCAACCAGCATTGTGAATGCAAGGGACTGTGACATGGATCTCTTTGAAGTAGGAGTCATGCATGTGAATCTTCGGGGTGGTTGGCGCGGTTTGGGGAAGAAGAGGTCGAGTCTGGGCCGGCCGGCTTGGAAAGGTGAGCTGAGTTTGAGCTGCTGGGAAGAATTGGAAGAGTTTGGAACGTTGGGGGGAGTCTGGGAATGTGTCCGAAGGCTTGGAAGATATTTGTAAGTTAGGACAAGTGTTGGAGATGCCCTCAAGAGTTTGGGGCAGGTCGAGACAGTTTGGCAGCCCACAGCATCTGGAGAACCAAAGCAACAGAGCCAGAAAATCACGAAAAACGAGCTCACAGGGACTTATGACAAGAAGTGACTGCTTGGATTGGTTCAACATCAGGTTCTTTGACACGGCAACCCTGAAACCTCCCTCGGCCCCTTCCACCCTGCCCTTCGGATGCGCACCTCGCCCCTGGGCTGGAAGATTGGAGCCTCAAGATGGACTCTCCAGGTGAGCGAACTGTGGGATGCCACGATTCGTTCCACGACTCTTCTGGTTCGCGTCAGAACAGGGAGATCCTTTGCCCAAGGCGCTTTTCGGCTGGCTTGCAAAAAGGGAAACGAAGAGGATAAGCTTACCTGATTGGCGTCTTGCGCTGTCATCGGATGACATGATAAACATAGCTATATATATATATATATGTGTATATATATATATATATCATACTCTGAGGAAAGAAGGAATGGCATGAAACGCAGCACCATACAAAATGGGCACGTCAAGTGATCAACAGGAGTCTGCATGCAGTGCTCCTACTCATCAGCAAACAGTTAAATCGAACAAAATGCAGCTTGCAAGCCATGCAAATAAAAGGGTTCATGTGGGCCCAATCCACGATCCCTCTTTGAAAACCACTACAAAGGGCCAATCTTTCCATAAGCCGATAGAGGGTGGAGAGGATCTTGCGGATTGCCTTTGAACAGCCCAGCTGACCCCCCTGGGAATTTGACGCCAGTTTTCTGAACACGTCGCTCTTCCCAGGGTGTAGCAAAAATCAAATAGAGATTCCAACATTGCCAGCCCTCTCTTGACTCAAAGCCCGCGGCTCTTGGCCCCCCCATGGCAGACATAGGCCTCGGTATCGTGTGAACGCGAGGAAGGCCCCCCGCAAGACACATTCGCGCTTGAAACTTCTGCTGAAAGCGCTTGCGAATCCCATGGTGTGATGCCCTAATCGTTGGAAGACTAGGCCAAAGAGGGCAATACATCACAACCATGGTCATAATCCGCTTGGGGAAATGTCCACTCGCTAGAAGTGTCCACGAGCTGGACCGCAGACCATGCTTGTAGTCAAAGGGCTGATGGATCTGTAATTTCATCGACCCTTTGGTGGACGTCAAAGGCACATTCCGAAATTCAGCCGGATGTGATTCCAGCAGCCAAGTCGGGATGCCATCTCAGGCCCCGGCTTCTCCACACCTAGGACTCGCTCACGCGCTCACACGCCGTTTCGCATGTCTTACCTAGACAAGGTTGCTCGGTAAGGACGTCGACCAAAAGAGCAAGTTCTGTGTGATACAACTAGATATGCATAGATGTCTTTGATATATATATATATATATATATATATCATCTTTGATATATATATATATATGTATATATGTCACGCACACGCACACCCACACACACACACACAAACACAAAGACACACTTGTCATTTGTGTGATTCTGTATGTGAAACAGTGCCGTAAACCTCTCCGGTTCTCAAGCCCTGTACAGGCAAGATGCTCTCTGTCAGAGCCTTAAGTGCAGGCAACAGTAAACAAATGGAGCAACGCCTCGGAGAGTTCCTTGAATCGCACTCTGCAGTTGCAAAGGCCCTCTGCCAAACCGGAACCAGGAGGAACACCTCGATGCGCTGAAAAGATTATCAAGGTCCCAGGTAGAGAATCTGTATCAGGTTGACAAAGGAAGAAAGCAACACCGTTTGCCAGCAGCCAGCTACGCCAAGAAGGTGATCGACACCCGGTCTCACCAGCCTAGAAGCGAACCACCGACCGTCTTGGGCTGTGGCCGGCGCTTGGCCTGAAGCATGTGATATGAATCAGGCGTTGTTTGTTACTTGTAGGTGTAAAACTTACGCAGACAGTGACAGTCTTGTTTCGGGAAACATGAATGCTAACAAAAGTCATTGTTGGGCCCTGACTCATACATCTTGCTACGTAGAACAATCAGCTGCGCAAGGAGTTGAGCTTTGTTGCAGCACCCAAGAAGTGTCGGGTGTCTCTGCATCTGCACCCACGTGCTTTCATTTGTTTTCTTTGGACATTCGGCTACAGCGAAAACCATCATGTGCAAACATGTGTACACATCGCACTGCT